CACTCTCTCTCTCTCCCCTTCTCTCTCTCTGCTTCTCTCTCTCTCTCTCTCTGTCTCTCTCTCTCTCTCTCTCTCTCTCTCTCATACAGACACACACAGCCTCCCCCCTCAAACACATAGACGCACACACACAGATACAAACACATACACATAAAGACGCACACACACATATACACACAGACACTTGCACATAAAGACGCACACACACAGACACACACAGACAGACACATACACATAAAGACGCACACATACAGACACACACAGACACATATACATAAAAACGCACGCACACAGATATAGACCCATATGCCATACACATAAAGACGCACATACACAGACACACACAGACACATACACATACAGACGCACACATACAGACACACAGACAGACACATACACATAAAGACGCACACACACAGACACACACAGATACATACACATACAGACGCACACATACAGACACACACACACAGACACATACACAGAAAGACGCACACACACAGATACAGACACTTACACATAAAGACGCATACACACAGATACACACAGACACTTACACATAAAGACGCATACACACAGATACACACAGACACATACACATAAAGACGCACACACACAGATACAGCCACATACACATAAAGACGCACACATACAGACACATACAGATACACACAGACACATACACATAAAGACGCGTACACAGAGACACACACAGAAACAATCACATTGACTCACACAAATATACACTCACACACAAACAGATACACACACTCACTCCTATACACACACATACAGGCAGACACACACACACTCACACGCTCGCACACACACACACATACACACACTCATAAAGACTCACGTACACACACTCACACACACTCAAACACCCATACACACATGCACACACAGGCTTAAACACACTCTCACACACACACATACATATTCTCACCCATGCACACATACAGACTCACACAAACAAACACACAGACTCACACTCACACAAAGACACGCAGACACACCACACACCCCCACATACACTCACACATACACGCACACACGCACAAAACAAACAGTCGTACACACATGCACACTCAGGCTTACACACTCACACCCACACACA